CTTGGAACTGAAAAGTTTACAGCCCAATAAATGAATGGTTGTGCAGCCATCTCACAGCTGCTTAAAAACAAACTGGAGCTGTAGCTGGAAAATTAGCCTTGCTGCAGCTGTAATCCTTATTCATGCTTAGAATCAGCTGTGGTTTTAATTAACATCTGTGATACATGACTGTAATGTGAAACATTGCTTTGTTTTAATGGTTAATACAGGATGTTTTAATGTACCTTCAAATCACTAATACATTTTATGTAAATATGGTGGTAACTTCTTGTGACTTAATTTACAGAAACACTGTAGGATGTTCAATTATTGCCTCTAGCAGGCCAAGGAAATGACTGTTTTAGATTAAATAAAGCTTTAGCAAACAAGTATTTCTTAGAATTACCTTATTGGTGAGTGGATTTTCTTTGGATTTAGATTTGCAAATAAATAATATTTATTAAGTAGTCAGTATTTTTTAGAAAGTGAGGTTATTTTGTCAAAAGGGACTATCTATTCACATATAAATAATGTTCTTCATTCATTTTAATTGCTTGGTAGTTAATACTTCTAATCTTATTTTCTGTGTTACAATAAGATATAGGCCCTGTGATTTTGTTATTTATCACATTCTCATGGACTCTAAGCCATCTTAGACTGACTTCTTTCTGAAGATAAATTTACTTTTTTTTTTTTTTTTTTAATTCCTAAATGTAAATAGATGCCAACTAAAATTGCAGAAAGGAGGAGGCAGGAGAGTGAAAACTGACTGCAGTGACGACACCGATCAGGAAGAGAGAAAAGAGCTTGAGGAAAGTTTATGACTCAACAGGAGTAGTGGAAGGATTGTGGTATGTTTTCTGTGGTAGAGTGGTTGTCCTAATGACATAGAATTTTTGGATGAAAAGTTGGGGAATGTAGTACTGGGTGACTTAGCAACATGTTTCCTGCTTGTGGTTAAGTTAAATACCGTGTGTTTTCTCTTGTGGTAGTATACAAAGCAATTACTTTTCCCACTTTTTTCCTTCCAGTGCAGTTAGGACAAAGACATGGAAAATGTAAACTTTCTTCTTTAGTTCTAGAAACGTGAGATTAGAACATTTTCCAAGGACTGAAATCTGAATAGCTGTTTGGTGACCCGTCAGCTGCAGCTGATTGAACAGCAGTTATCAAGCCTATGCCTTCTCTGGTAAATGGAAATTCTATCACTGAATTTATAAATTCTCATCACTGAATTTATAAATTCTCATAAACCCAGAAACCTATTCCTTTTCAGATATACTTGGAGTCCATGTCTTCTGCAACCTTGTATGACTGGACTGTATGATCTAGTTAGAGGCAGGATGTAAGAGCTGTGAGGTCTTATACTGCTGTGTCAGTCAGTCATCTTCAAAGGCCTATTTTGTTCCAAGTCAGATATAAAAAAACCCATGTTTTCAGGAGACTCAAAATATCGCATGTTTATCTCTCTATGGCAATTTTTCTTTAAGATAATTATGTGACCTCTGTCGTGAGCTGCCATGATTGTGTGACTAAACAGGACTGAGATTACACACAAAGCCACAAGGAGAAATGTCAGCATCTCCACAGCAGTGGCCTTTTGGAGTTACATGTTTTCAGTGTTGTGAAATGATATTTGTAAAAGGCATAGTTTTAAAATCCATTTGCTTCAGAGATGAAGCCAAGTTAAGAACAGTTTGTACAACTACTCGTTTCCACCCTCAGGCCACACTATGTTTCTCTCGGAGTTGAGCCAAAATACTACACAGCAAAGTGTCTGCCAGAATGATCTGAGGTTTGTCTGGTTGCCTTAAGCAGAGCTGAGGTTTTCTGGGTTCTTGTTTGTTTGTTTGTTTGTTTTCTTTTGGTGTTCAGGGACTTTTCCATTTAAATTTTCCTAATTGTGATAGCTACATTATTTCCCCTCACTCCTTTTGCTTAAAATTGCCTGCAGAGTTTATACGCTTATATAGGTCCTTGATTCATACACAGAATACTTGTTTCTTGGTCCTGAAAACTGGGGAGGGGGAAACAAAATAATAAAATGCAGGAGTATGACTAAAAACATTTTCAAAAAGAACACAGCAGGCTTTAAGTTCTGCTGAGGAGGCTGTGAAGTAGATCTAATGACACTTGATTTATAGTAAGCTTTTCAAAAGCTGGTCTCCAGCAAATCCTGTAGCAATGTTTTGTACAACCCAAACAACAATTTAAAGCCACAGGTGAAAACTCTGTGTGAACACTTGCAAAATATTTGTAAATTAGAATTTAAAAAAATTTCACAGCTATGCTTAACCAAGCAGCCATCTGTCCCAGGAGAGCAGGCAAATAGCAGGAAGAGGAACTAAGAGCAGCTGTGGGGTGGTTCTTTCATCACATGATGCAGCTACAGCCTCATGGCTTCATATCTTTTCTCCATCACTTAGAAAAGGTACAGTTTTTACTGTATACCAGCACTAAAGTTGTACGTAGTCCCTCCATCTGACTTCTGTGTTTAAGTGCTTTTTTGTTTAAGATCATGAATGTTATCTGAGTTTTATTCCATAAAAAACTAATTAACTCAAGGCCTCAATTTTCTTGATTTCTGCCACGTGCACTTGTTTCCACTCATGCCACAAAGTATTTTTGTTATGTTGTGCCTGTTGCTCTTGAATCTTGGAGGTCAGCCTTAGATGTCAGTCCAATGTCCAGCAGCATGAGTGGTATTGTGGCAAATTAAGAAAATTTGAGGATAAAAAGTTCTTGAGCATTTAAGAGTTATGCTGAACAACCTGTGCTAGAGAGTTTGGATGACAAACTCTTAAATTTGTGCACAGAGATGTCAGGCAGTTGGAAATTATTCTCCATTTTCTCTGACTCTGAAATGACTGAGCTTTGTGTTCCAGTCATAGGTGTTGCTTAATACAGACAAATAGAGGCAGCACAGAAAAAAACCCAGAATGTTCATTACGACAAACTGAAGAGAAGGGAAAAAAACAGATTTGAGCATTTCTTTTTAATTGAAACTGGCAAGCCATTGTTAAACTGTTGCTGTAGAATGATGCCCTGTAAATTACAAATGGATGTAGTTGCAAATAACATTACATTGACTGACACTGCAAACAAGTGATCAATTTTATGATTAATTTCATAATTCCAAGTTATATATGGTTATGATGGTATCATAAACTATGCCCAAATATTTACAGTTAAAGCCAAAAAAATGAAACAAACGAAAACTTTTACTAAAAACAAGAGGTACATCCCAAAGGAAAGTTTAGAACAGAACAGCTAGGCAGAGTTGGCCTACTTTACAACCTACTAACTACTGCTGTGAAGACTCTACTCTGATTTTAAGACATCTGCAAGTTTTAGAGCTGTCATTTTATTTGAAAGCTGGTATTGTCAGATTTTATCAGCTGGTTTTCATTGCTGGATTTAAAAGAGAAATATTTCATCCAGTACTCAGGTAAGCCTCAGACAGTCCCAAGAAATGCAGAAAGCTACCTGAATCCCAGGCTGTATTTAACTGTGTGTATTAGACAGAGATCTGAAAATTCATTGTGCTGGTGTCACTTGCCTTTTCAATAGAACAAGCCCACTGTGGAAGTAGTGCTGAGTCAGAGGGCAATCAACTAATACATTTGTATCTAAATGTGAACTCTCAAGTTGTGGATTGCCCTTGTCCCACCAAAACAACAAATCATGACTGTTTTCTCAGTATAATTTAGCAAGCATAGATTCAGCTATACCAACAAAATTTGTGTATTTTGCTTTTAAAAATGACAATTAATATGAGGACATCTGTCAACATGATGCCTTTAACAACCAGACTTGTGATCCATGTTTCCACTTCCTACACTGACACAGGCCATTCTGAGAGACCTTCAGTTTCCCCAGTGAGACTCAGCTAAAGGGATTCTGGAATCCACAGAAACAGTTTAAGCAATTTTTCGTTGTTGTGAACCATGAGCACATGTAGATGACTCAGATACTGGGGACTGGAGTTCTCAATTTTGAGAGGTAAAAAACACTTAACTCTTTTATTTTGTGGTAACAATAGTCAAAATTTAGTTAAAACATCATGTTATCCAACCAAGGCCAGGCTGGATGGGGCCCCCAGAACCTGGTCTAGGTGAAGCTGGGAGGAGCACTGGGAATGAACAGTTTGGAAGCAGCCCTGCCCTAACTTGGGGGTGCTGGTGGTTGAGAGGCTGGACGTGCCCTGACCCTGAACCCCCCTGTCTGGGCTGATCTCACAGCCTGGACAGCAGGGAAGGGGGGGATTCTGCCTAGATGAGACCCCACCTGCAGAGCTGCCTCCAGCTCCAGGGTCCCAGCACTGGAAGGATGTGGAGCTGCTGTAGCAAGTCCAGAGGAGGCACCAAGGTGATCAGAGAGACGGAGCAGCTCTGCTGGGAGGAAAGGCTGCGAGAGTTGGGATTGTTCAGCCTGGAGGAGGCTTCCAAAGGCTGACTGAATTGTGGCCTTCCAGTTCCTGAAGGAGCCGACAAGAAAGATGGAGAGAGACTATTTACAGGGCCCTGGAGTGACAGGACAAGGGGGAAGGGTTTCACACTGACAGAGCAGTTCGGGTATTATGAATAACTTTTTTCTCTGCGACAGTGATGAGGCCCTGGCACAGGCTGCCCAGAGAAGCTGTGGCTGCCCCACCCCTGGAAGCGTCCAGGAACAGGTTGAAGCAAGGTGGTCTAGCGGAAGGTGCCCGCCGCAGGGGAGGTTCCAACTATCCTACTCGAGCCCATTCCACGACTCCATGACAAGCCCCCACTCCCCGAGCCCCCCTTCCCGGTGGGTGGTGTTTAGGAGGGACCGGGCGGAGGCTCCGCCGTTTCCTGCCCCCCCCTCCCCTCCCTCCATCCCCGCCTCGCCCCGCACCGCGCACGCGCCCGCTCACGCGCGGTGGCGCCGGGCGGGCCCTCGCGCGTGCGCGTCGCAGCGGCCGGGCGGCGGGGCCGGGGGAGGCGCCGGAGCCGCCCCGGGCGGGGAGCGGAGCGGGCAGGGGGGGAGATGGGGCCGTGAGAGCTCGGCCCGGGGCAGCGGCGGAGCGGAGCGGAGAGGAGCGGAGAGGAGCGGCGGCACCATGGACGGGCAGGCGGCTCCGGGCGCGGGCGGCGGCGGCGAGGAGCCGCTGGGCTCCGGCAGGATGAACCCGAAGCGGGGCGGGCGCGCCGCGGAAGAGGAGAGCCGGAACAAGCCCAAGCTGGTGAGCGCGGCCGGGGGACCGCAGGGAGCGGCCCGGAGCGGGGAGGAGGAGGAGGATGAGGCGGCTCGGGCACCGCTCGGGTGTTCCCCGCGGGGAATGCGGGGCGCGCGGAGCGAGGGGAGCGCCCTGTCTGATTGAAACCCCGCAGAGGTTCCGTGCGGGTCCGGGGGGGCTCTTTGTGGAGGCAGGTGACAGCCCACGGGAGGGGTGGCGGCTGGAGCCGGGAATTCACGTGTTCCCGGCGATGGCTGTGGCAGGGGACAGCGCTGCTCTGCCCGGCGTAACCTCTGCTCTGCCTGCCCCAGTGAAAGATCGCAGGGTGGGGTTGGCTCTGTGTGAACAATCCAGAATGCTTGTGATCGGGATGCCAACCACGTGCTTCCCAGTGGAACTTCTCGGCTAATGCGAGCGTAATGTAAGCATTTGTGTGTGTCCCAGCCTGTTTTGGGGAAGATCTCACACAGGTTGGAACACGAACCCTCTTTAGGACTGTAGAGTTTGTTGGTTATGCCTGTGCCTTTTAATTTTTAAGAAGGTATTTTTACTTACAAATGCAATAAGTTGAAGCACAGGTAGATTTCAAAGCCAACGTCACTGGATTATATCACACTTTATATTCCCCAGCAGCCAAAATAGTTAATGTGACACTGTTACCTTTGATTGTGTACATGTGTTACTACTTCTAACATTGAACCAGCCCATTTTAGTTCAGTTCTCTATTAGGTTTCCAATTGCAACAGTGTAGCAGACACTTCAAACTTTGCTTCCCCTTCATCCTGAATAGAGTACTAGTTACAAACTTTACTTAATCTGTTGCAAGCGTTTTCACAGCTGTTGATTAAGTATCGAAGTGCTCCCATCTTGAGTTCCTTCCATGGAGTGTAGAGCTTTGGGCTGATCAGCCTGGCAACTGCGGTGTGGGGTATTTTTTGCCACTGAAAACTAAGTTAGAAACTGTGTGGGAAAGTTGTTAAATTTGTAAGGAATGAGGCATAAAAAAGTTACTGAAAATTATAATTGTTTCAGAGGAACTCCAATTGACTTGAAGTGCACTTGTATTAAAAGTGATAATTAAATATTTTGGCAAAAGATACCCAAATATGGTGTCTCGTTTTGTTCCTTGGTGTTATTGGAAACAAACTTGTGTTTCCTAGTGTAGGATAAACATAAATCAATTTCGTATAAACAAAGTGTTTGTTTATGTTTGTACTACCTTTACTATTTCCTGGCTAGACTAGCTAAGAAGGCTTCTTGAAGGTTCCTGCAGGGAACTGATTTAAAAGTCACACAGGAAAGTGTTTCTCTTGGAAGCTTTGGACATGAATTTGAATTTTGCTGTAGCAGAAGAAACTGTAGCTGTTCTGAAAAAACTATATTATTTGAAAAATTAAGGTAAAATGAGCATAAAATTGGACTGAGCAGAACAACTATTTCCATTGCATGCTCTATTCAGTTATTCTAAAATTACTGTGGAAGACTTTTATTTTTATACTTAGTGGAAAAAGGAACATTATGTTAGTATTTAACTTCATTTGCAGTAGTGTGATTTTGTTTCTTAAGGGGGTAGATGATTGCAGACCAGCAGCCCATGGATCAGAGCAGTGATATGTTGCTTGAATCAGGTGTTTCTGAGATAAGTGATTGGCCTCTGATGATATAAATGAGTGAGTGGCTTGAATGGGAAAGCAGAGTGGCATGAATGGAAAAAGGTGTGCCCGAAACTGACATGAAGAGTCAATTACTCCTGAGGAAGGAAAGAGATGGGATTCAGTGTGTTGGAAACTGGCCAGTGTGAATGGACAGCCAGCTTTATCAATTATTGCCATGGGTTTGCAAGGGAAGAACAGGACTGTAATCAGGGAAAGGCTTCATACATTATATTGCAGAATAATCTTACTATAGTTTTCTGGCTTTAATTTTGGAAGGGGAATCGGTTCTGCTGAGGCTGGCGATATCTTCAGGTACTCAGAGAGCAGCCTTACTGGTACCTCATGCCTGTTGCCTTCACTGAGCAAATAAGATGAAGGTGTACTTGGAACTTCTGGTAGAGAGGCCACACTATTTGTGCTAGTGCTGAGTTGTCACTGAGTTCATATACAAAATTCTCAGAGTTGGGTGTGGACATTTTCTTGGTTCATCTTCATAACTTAAAATTTATCATGTTTCAGTAAAGTTATAGGGATGAATCAACCTGCACTCTGTCATGTGTTGTGTGTAATTCAAGGAGCTCCAAGTGTGCTGACAGGAGCGTGTCTCCTTCCCAGAACTTATTTCACACATCCAGGGGAGTGCTGAACAGGGGCTTGGTGGGAGAGGGTGTGCAGCTACATATAGCTGCACATACACATGTATTTTTGGTTCCTGGCTTAGGAGCTGAAATTAGGCAAATGATTGGAAAGAAGTCAAGGGAAATGATTTTTATATGATAGACTAAAAATGGCTCTGGGTGACAGGGAGCTAGGAAACTGAAGGCATTATTCTGAGGGAAGGGCAACTAGAATAGAAAGGTGGAAGTTTTTTTTTCCCCTGCTCTCCATATTAAACTAAGAGGTGGGCAGTGGTGCTTGGCCTGCAGAAGTGTAGTGGTTTGTTTGGTTGGGTGTTTTTAAGGACTGAAGGCTGATCAATGGCATTTATTCCTGATTGACAGGATGTAAGGCCGGGCTATCAAGAGAGAATCTGTACTAGAAAAGAAAACAATAGGTTCAAATATATCTCTGTAAGATAATTGATGATTATGCACACACACAAGTAATTAAAGATGAGCTATATCAGAACTACTAATTCAGTAATTTGCCGCTTTACGTAATTTGGAGGGGCATTCAATTTTCATACAATTTGTTGAATTTGTACAGGCATTCAAGTTTCGTAAAATTTGTGACAGAGCTGCACCATGAGAATTTAATTCCAGCTTTTATCCTAGTAGTGTGTAAACTGGAGTATTACACTAAAGTTTAATGGCTATCTAATGTTTTGGGGTTTTTCCTCATTTTTTGCTGGCTCAAGGACTGGAGGTGGGAATGAGAGCCTGGGTTTTTTGTCATTATCTTTGTTTACAATGAAATGGGCAGAAAATATCTAAATTGTTTTGGCAAACAATCATCTGGTCTCATGCCAGCCCTGGGAATAGGCTGGCATGAGGTGGCAGTGAGCAGTTAGATGGGTTTGGCAATATGCTTGTTTTGCTTGTTTAAAAGTATGCTTGTCCTATGAGGGGAAACAAACTAAATTAGGGTTGTCAGGGAGATTGCTGGGATTCCTGTGTTTGATAAAGCTTAACTTAGATGTTGTTTGCTCTCCTCAATGCTTCAGTATCACATGGGAAATGTATAATTCTGTTGGGTACCTGGGAAATGGGAAGTGCTTGAAAACATCAGTTGTGATGTGATGTATCTGCTGTAGCTCACCAAGACCAAGGGCTTGGCAAGTTGATTATTTTTTTGGTTGAGGAGTTTTTCAGAAGTTCATGGGAGAAGAATGGGAGACAGATGATAAAAAGGAGCAGGAGAGGTCACTGGAGAGGAAACCAAGTATAAGGGGAAAAAATAATTTGAAGGATGGTTAAGTATTTTTTGGCCAGAGACACTGGAATTGCTGCTCCTGGAGGTTTTGAAGTCCTGAAAGTCTTTAGCAGGCTGGTTTGAATTCAGTGTTAACCCTGCTTTGCAGGCAGGTCTTGGGCCTACACTGAGAAAAGAATGAGATCCTTTCAAACACCTGTGAAGTGCATGTGGTACTGAATGCCATGCTAAAAAAGCTTCATTAACCCCAAGTTCTCTTCAGGTCTGTGTGGTAGCTGTTCAGTGATAGATACTCCACTTAACTACAAACTAAGTTTCTGAAAGGAGCTCTCTTCATAGTGTGATCCTGTCTTTAAAAGTACATCAAGAGAAAGTTGTTGTGTAACATGAAAACCAAATTGTTAGTGGAAAAAGAGAGCTTTAGTTGCAGAGCAAGTGGATTTGGTGATTCACCCAACAAGGAGCAACTCTCATTTTGTTTTAAAAGCAAAACTTGTTTGTGCTTAATACTGAAGCCTTTTAAATCCTGTGAGCTTTGAGATGAATCAAAAGCTATGAGGATTCTGACTAATGTGCCATAACCTGGTGTCAAAGAGTAATAAAAGCTTTTATGAATTAACTTTTAAGCAGAATTTAACTTGGGAAGAGATTTCCTATCTTCTTTGCTCCACCCATATGAGTGCAGGAGTTAAGAAGAGATTTGTGTGTATCAGTCCCTGTCAGACTGGGTGCTGCAGGTCCTGCAAAGAAAGCTGTGTGTTCTTTACACATGACTTGGTCAGATATCTGCACACTGCATACATGAACTATGAGTCAGGATGAGCAGAGATTTTTGGCAAACAAGTCACATGTATAATGTTTGAGGTCATAGTGTCTCTAAGTGAAATCAGTGCATGCCTGCAGAGGATTCTTGCTTCAAGTGTATACTTGAGGAAAAAGTGCGTTGAAATGGTTGTGTTTGAGAAGACTCTCAGTGTCATTAGATAAAAGTCAAAAGATATTTCAGCAAATGAATTAGTAAGGTGTAAACATTACTGAAGAGTAAAATTAGTGTCTTGGGACACTTCTCTTACTGAGAAGTATTCTGACATGGTAGAGTAGGGCATGCTTGGTGCTGCTATTTCGTTGAATGCTTTAGCTTTTAATGGGAAATGATATTGACACTGTTTAAATAAGGTGATAGAGACAGTGATAAGCCTATCTGCCTGTGGTAATTAAACTTCCTGAACTACTACTTGTAAGACAAAACTGTAGAGCTCTTCTGTATAATACAGGAAGCTTTGCAAACAAAGCAGATCCCACTTAGCCAAAGCGAGAGGCAATTGTGAGAACTGACAGTGTGCATATCAAACGGCAGTGATGGTTTCTGAGATTTTTAAGAACTGTGGTGCTGAATATCCAAGTGTTGGAGGATGAACTTTTGTTTTTCTATCACAAATAGCCTGTAAAACTTGCTAATGACACAGGGATTGCTGATGA